ACATAGCTTTACAAAGTTATTACTTACATATAGCTCCAGACGCAGCACAGATAGCTTAGACAGATTGGACAGATAATGCCACATGACCTACACAAACATATAATGGCTACACATTGAAATACATACTCGAAAAACACTTAACTCGTTTCTTTCTATCTCGATGTGTTTCTAATCCTTGTCCTCATTATTATATCTTAATTAAGGCTTAGGAATGCCTAGGATGTAATGAAGATACCAAACTCTACTTAGAAAATATTTGCAAAATTTCAAAAAATAGGGCAGTTCGCTCGAACGTAATTTTTGTCGCTCGAATGGATCCTTTGGTATACAAAACTTCTGAGAGCTCTCATTTTACGCTCGAGTGGTCTTTCAGTCGCTCGAGCCAGCCATCAATCTCTGCAAAAATACTAGGAGCTAAAATTTTACGCTTGGGCAAAGCTCTGGTCGCTCAAGCGATGCGACCAAATTATGGAATTTCTAGATTTCAGTTCCAAGTTCAAAACCAATTTTCAAAGCTTCAATCTTGATCATTTGGGCCAAAACTCAAGAAAATATGTAAAAACTCATAAGATATCATGATTTGAAAACCATTTCGCAAAATTAAGCCCAAAAGCATGGTCATTTATCCAAAACCAAGCTTGAAATTCAATATAGACAACATGCATGAATGGATATGAGTTCTTTTTTTCCAAAACATGATCAATTGAGATAAAATGATGCAGAATGTGATGAATTCCCAAAACCAAGTTAGAACATTGGCATGCTTGAGGAAATTCTTTGGAAAACAACTCCAAAATGCCATGAAATATGCATGCAATTATGCCTTGAGTTTTAATTCTTCAATCCTAACTTAATTCTTGTGATTCATCTCCCAATTCACTTGAATTTTAACACTAGTCAACTCAATTACATAACTAAAGGGTTGGATTCTTACCTTAGCTTCTCTCAACTGAGTTTTAGTTGGCTAATTGTTCGAGTTTCCAAGCCAAATCCTCCAATTTCTTCTAACCTTCTACAATCTTCAAGCTTGAATTCAATTCTTTCTTACTCTCTCTCTCTCTCTCTCTCTCTCTCTTTTTCACGTTTTGGCTCAATGAATGAAGTTTAGAGTGTATATAAAATGTTCTTGATGCAACATTGACCTTATATAGACTTGATTAGTGGAGCTAAATTAAGCTTGTCTTATGACTAATCAATTGACATTATTTTATTCTAATCATTTGATATCGGAATCGCATTTTAATTAAAGTTACCATAAAATTCTAAAAATTCAAATTAACACATTGACGTAGTTAAATTCGTGTTCAGATGTCGATAATGCCTTCAATTCACAAATTTAAACAAAATTACCAACAGATATTCCTACAGCAGACAGATATAAACACAAATAACATAAGGAACATGAAATTAACTTAGGGTTTCTTCTTATTACTTGTTAAACATCTTTAATCATGGATTATAGGCTAATCACAGGTCAGGGTTGTTATACCTATAGAATATCACTGTATAAAGAAATAGGCTAGAGAATTTTACCTCTTTAGTGACTCACTCGTTACACGTAATTAGGTTGCTTCTTTGAACCTAGATCTTAGGATCTTCAGTCAACTAGGTTGGGTTTTTCATTCTGGTAACATTAACTAAAGACCTTAACCTCATTCCTCTTGACGACATTTCTACTAACTCTCAAGTAAACCCTTTAGTTAACGAATCTACAATGTTGTCCTTAGACTTTACATAGTCAAGAGAGACAACTCCATTAGAGAGTAGTTGTCATATGAAATTATGTCTACGACGGATATGTTTAGAATTTCCATTATATATATTACTCTGTGCCTAACCAATTGCCGATTGGCTATCATAATGAATACAGATAGCGCGCATAAGTTTCGACCAACGTGGAATATCTTCAACGAATTGGTAAAGCCATTCAGCTTCTTCAGTTGTTTTAACTAAAGCAATAAACTCAGATTCCATCGTTGATCTCGATATACACATTTGCTTGGAAGATTTCCAAGGCACGGCTACCCCTCCGAGGGTAAACACATAACCACTAGTGGATTTGGAATCTTTTATATCAGATATCCAACTAGCATCACTATACTCTTCTAGTACCGCTGGGCATTTGGTATAATGTAGCCTGTAATCCCTAATGTAACGGATATGTCATACCTCGAATTTTATTACTCGGATACATTACCAAATTTCTTATAAACGTCCACTTCCAAATTATAATTACAGGAATCAAACAAGTTAGATAGAATGAATAAGGTTCTCTCTCGCATAATAGATGTTCACAATACATGCCTCAAAGCTTACATAAAAGGTTACACAATAATCATATACGATAGATAGAGAACATCCTTGTTATAACATTCTAACACTTCATTTACAATTCACAGTACGAAGTCTTAACGAACTAGAATTTCTGTCACGACCCCATTCCGCCCCTAGTAGAATGGTGCCGTGATGGCCAATAATCCGAGATTACCAAAGGCCAACTTACAAAGATTCACACATAATCAGAGTATACATATGGGACTTGCATGTGCGGAAGCAATAAATTTAAATCTAAGTAGTCCATAAGAGCCGTGCATAGATCAAATGAAATGACATACATCTTAACATGGTTTTACAACTTAAATACAAATAAAATAAATACATAATACATCTTGATCAAAAGGCTTCTCAAGCCGACATAAACAAAAAAGGTGAAATACAAAGCTGAGAAGCATAATCTTCAAGATGCTAGCAAAAGTATGAATCCGAACATCATGCAAAATACATCTAGGCGTCACCGCCTTCTTGCTCAACACCTACATATATATAAGGAGATGGTGAGCTTGGATACTCAGTGAATGGTATAAGTAATAAAGGTTTAAATGAATGATATCCGAGATCTTCTCCAAAACAATACATATCATAACTTTACAAATCAAAGGGATGAATCAAGTTCATCTATCAAATCTTTCAAAGCTTCTTGGATGTTAATAACATCTACATAATACCAAAGGATGACATTCCGGACAAACAAACCCACGCGGAAAACCGTCAGTGGCAAAACAAGGGTGCAGTTGCATTATAGTCCCCTGACACTAAGGACTTTCAAAACAAAGGTGTTGTTGCATTATAGTCCTTTGGCACTAAGGACTTTCAAAACAAGGGTGCAATTGCATTATAGTCCCCTGGCACTAAGGACTTTCCCAGAATGTCATCAAAACAAATATAATACTTAATACAAAAACTAGGGATAATCATTCATGCTTGATCAAATACTTTTCTAAAACAAAGCAAAGCTTTATCAAAACTTTATAACATAGCTTTATTAAAAATACCACTCACATAGCTCTTCGGACGTCGGGGTTAAAGCAAGGGTCCAAGTCTTACAAACACATGGCAAAGTCTACTGAATGCACTTCAAAGAGACAAGAAAGAATGCCCAAAGATGGATATGAAATGCACTCTCAAGACAAGCCTCACATGAATACAAATGATCCCGGCATTTCCTTCAAGACTAGGTCAAGTCAAAGCAAAGCATGCTGGAAGTTAAAACACTGTTTTTCATCTCGGAAAAACATGCTGGGTACCAACCAGGTCTTTGCCGAGGTCCCACACCTCTTAGCCGAGGTGTGATTACCAAGGCTTCGGCAAATGGCTGTCTGCCGAGGTGTTCATGCAAGATAGACTAATGGTGCAGGTGATCATGCAAGGTAGGCCAAGGTGAGATACGATACTTGGCCTAAGTGTGAGATCTAGGCAAGAGTGGTCTCGGTGACCACACCTAGGGAAAGGTGAAGTCTGGAAATCTGGGTTTCTTTCCTTAAAGCACACGAAGAACATGAACATGAAGAACATAAAGAACATGAATGCTAAAATCATAACTTGTTATTACAAAATCTAGGATTTTATGCTATGAGTTAAAAAACATGGACCTTGGTACCCATACTTGAAGATCTTAAGAAAACAAACACAAAAACATGGATCTTGATACAAACTTTCGGATCAAAACATGGTTTTTTTCTTCAAGAACACAAGAACACCATTTTCTCTTTCTAAAACAACTTTAAATCAATGCATGGCTCATGAATCATGCTAGATCATGCAATGCAATCAGATCAACATAAAGAATAACAAGAGTAAATCAAGATTCTAACCTCAAAACACGGATTAAACGACTCAAACTCTAAAGATCAAGCTTCGGATCTAGCTCTCTCACTCCAACTTCCTCTCCTCTTCCTAGAGCCTCTCTCTCTACAATGCAAAAGGTATGACACAAAATTACATATTTCTAACTCTGCCGGCTGACTTAACCCTCTGCTGGGACACGTGGCAACGACTGATTGGATCTCTTCAAAAAGGTGATAGATTGATAAGACAAGAGCATGACAAAATGTAAGCAACAAGTAAGGTGACATGGGCACTTCGGCAGGTAATGATCTCGGCTAGGACAAAGCTTCAGCAAGTAGGGTCTCAATGATCTCGGCTAGGAAGGACAACACTTAGCCTAGCTGTGCCACACCTCGGCCTAGATGTGTCACACCTCGGTCTAGGTCATACCAGTCCCGAAACAAGATCACCAGGTGCAGGGATCAAAGATCTAAAATACCTAAAGAATAACATCTCGGCTTAGATGATACATATCTCGACCTCGGTGATGCACACCTCGGCCTAGATGATGACATCTCGGCCAATATGCCAGGGTGAAGGTGGAGGTCAACCAAAGTGGTTCCAAGATGGTCCTAGGTATAAGAGATTCAAAGGTGTGACCTAGGCTTAAAATGACCTCGGCTAAACACACACTAAACAAGGAACAAAGCATGCAACAACACTTAGATAAAACAAAACAGGATTTCATGAATGCAACTTAACAAGACAAAATCATATAAATGCATGTGATCATGACCAAGGCAAGGTGAGGGTTGTTACATCCTTCCCCCCTTAAAGAAGTTTGGTCCCCAAACTTAACGTACTTTGTCCCCAAAACAACTCTGGATGTCGGGTTCTCATTTCTTCTTATCGTCTTTAGCCTTTACCTTGGGACAATCCTTAATACGATGACCCATCTCACCGCATTCAAAACATGCTCCAGATACCCAATAACAAGCCCCAAAATGTTGCTTCCCGCAACTTGTATATGTCGGCCTGGTGCCACTTTCCTGATTCGAGTTGCTTGAATTATCCACATTTACCTTCTTATTGACATCGGATGGTGCTTGGCGATTGTCATAATCCTGCCTCTTTCTCTGATTCTCCCCTGAACTCTGGCTTCTGCTCAAGTTAGCTTCGGCTAGGATGGCTTTATCTAACACTCTGGCATACGTTGGCATGTTGAGCATATTAACTCGATCTTGTATTGGGCCCCGAAGTCCACTCTCAAACTTTCTAGCTTTCCTGTATTTGTTGTTGACCATGTGGGGTGCATACCTTGCCAACTCGGTGAAAGCGCGATCATATTCAGCCACTGTTTTGTTACCCTACGTCAACATCTGGAATTCTGTGGTCTTGCGATCTCAGATAATGAGGGGAAAGTGCTTGTCATAGAACAACTCTAAAAATCTGGCCCAAGTCAAACCTGGGTTGCCTTCTCAGATCATCATTCACCATCTACGGGCGTCGTCGTCCAATGTGAATGCTGCCAAAGACACCTTCTGAATGTCGGTGCTGGGAAAAACTTCGAACAACTTCTCTATCTCAAGAACCCATGCTTCTGCCTTCATCGGTTCTATACCTCCTTGGAATTTCAGCGGGTTCATCTTCTTGAATTCTTTGATCAAGGTCAACGTGCCATCCCCATACAAAGCTGGCTGCGGAGGCACTTGTGGTACTGGAGGAGGTGGAGGTGGAACTTCACGTCGGCCATCTGTCTGCTCGGCTTGAGTAGATGTAGTACCGGTGTTCTGTTGCCTTGTTTGCCTCAACTCATGGGCCAAACCCTCTACCATCCTTTCTAATCTGTCCAACCTATCCTCCGATTGATCTCGGCTAACTGGAGGTCCACCCCTTCTCATGATGCTAGGAGTATGCAAAATATGACTTTAAAACAAAATAAACAAATAGACACGTATGCAAGTAACAAATGGTTATGCCGAGATGATGCACACCTTGTCAAGTAGCAAGCAATATGATGCAATCCTAACATCATTCTAAGGGACATCCAAAGCTCTTTAGGACTCAAAGTGTGTGAATAACGTACTATAAGAAACTCGTGCTCTGATACCAATCTGCCACGACCCCGTTCCGCCTCTAGTAGAATGGTGACGTGATGGCCAGTAATCCGAGATTACCAAATGCCAACTTACAAAGATTCACACACAATCAGAGTATACATATGGGGCTTACATGTGCGGAAGCAATAAATTTAAATCTAAGTAGTCCATAATTCTAAGGGACATCCTAAGCTCTTTAGGACTCAAAGTGTGTGAATAACGTACTATAAGAAACTCGTGCTCTGATACCAATCTGCCACGACCCCGTTCCGACCCTAGTAGAATGGTGACGTGATGGCCAGTAATCCGAGATTACCAAATGCCAACTTACAAAGATTCACACACAATCAGAGTATACATATGGGGCTTACATGTGCGGAAGCAATAAATTTAAATCTAAGTAGTCCATAAGAGCCGTGCATAGATCAAATGAAATGACATATATCTTAACATGGTTTTACAACTTAAATACAAATAAAATAAATACATAATACATCTTGATCAAAAGGCTTCTTAAGCCGACATAAACAAAAGAGGTGAAATACAAAGCTGAGAAGCATAATCTTCAAGATGCTAGCAAAAGTATGAATCCGAACATCATGCAAAACACATCTAGGCGTCACCGCCTTCTTGCTCAACACCTACATATATATAAGGAGAGGGTGAGCTTGGATACTCAGTGAATGGTATAAGTAATAAAGGTTTGAATGAATGATATCCGAGATCTTTTCCAAAACAATACATATCATAACTTTACAAATCAAAGGGATAAATCAAGTTCATCTATCAAATCTTTCAAAACTTCTTGGATGTTAATAACATCTACATAATACCAAAGGATGACATTCCGGACAAACAAACCCATGCGGAAAATCGTCAGTGGCAAAACAAGGGTGCAGTTGCATTATAGTCCCCTGACACTAAGGACTTTTAAAACAAGGGTGCAATTGCATTATAGTCCCCTGGCACTAAGGACTTTCCCAGAATGTCATCAAAACAAATATAATGCTTAATACAAAACTAGGGATAATCATTCATGCTTGATCAAATACTTTTCTAAAACAAAGCAAAGCTTTATCAAAACTTTATAACATAGCTTTATTAAAAATACCACTCACATGGCTCTTCGGACGTCGGGGTTAAAGCAAGGGTCCAAGTCTTACAAACACATGGCAAAGTCTACTGAATGCACTTCAAAGAGACAAGAAAGAATGCCCAAAGATGGATATGAAATGCACTCTCAAGACAAGCCTCACATGAATACAAATGATCCCGGCATTTCCTTCAAGACTAGGTCAAGTCAAAGCAAAGCATGCTGGAAGTTAAAACACTATTTTTCATCTCGGGAAAACATGCTGGGTACCAACCAGGTCTTTGCCGAGGTCCCACACCTCTTGGCCGAGGTGTGATTACCAAGGCTTCGGCGAACGGCTGTCTGCCGAGGTGTTCATGCAAGATAGACTAATGGTGCAGGTGATCATGCAAGGTAGGCCAAGGTGAGATACGATGCTTGGCCTAAGTGTGAGATCTAGGCAAGAGTGGTCTCGGTGACCACACCTAGAGAAAGATGAAGTCTGGAAATCTGGGTTTCTTTCCTTGAAGCACACGAAGAACATGAACATGAAGAACATAAAGAACATGAATGTTAAAATCCTAACTTGTTATTACAAAATTTGGGATTTCATGCTATGAGTTCAAAAACATGGACCTTGGTACCCATACTTGAAGATCTTAAGAAAACAAACACAAAAACATGGATCTTGATACAAACTTTCGGATCAAAACATGGTTTTTTTCTTCAAGAACACAAGAACACCATTTTCTCTTTCTAAAACAACTTTAAATCAATGCATGGCTCATGAATCATGCTAGATCATGCAATGCAATCAGATCAACATAAAGAATAACAAGAGTAAATCAAGATTCTAACCTCAAAACACAGATTAAACGGCTTAAACTCTAAAGATCAAGCTTGGGATCTAGCTCTCTCACTCCAACTTCCTCTCCTCTTCCTAGAGCCTCTCTCTCTACAATGCAAAAGGTATGACACAAAATGACATATTTCTAACTCTGCCGGCTAACTTAACCCTCTGCTGGGACACGTGGCAACGGCTGATTGGATCTCTTCAAAAAGGTGATAGATTGATAAGACAAGAGCATGACAAAGTGTAAGCAACAAGTAAGGTGACATGGGCACTTCGGCAGGTAATGATCTCGGCTAGGACAAAGTTTCGGCAAGTAAGGTCTCAATGATCTCAGCTAGGAAGGATAACACTTGGCCTAGCTGTGCCACACCTCGGCCTAGATATGCCGCACCTCGGTCTAGGTCATACCAGCCCCCGGAACAAGATCACCAGGCGCAGGGATCAAAGATCTAAAATACCTAAAGAATAATATCTCGGCTTAGATGATACATATCTTGGCCTCGGTGATGCACACTTCGGCCTAGATGATGACATCTCGGCCAATATACCAGGGTGAAGGTGGAGGTCAACCAAAGTGGTTCCAAGATGGTCCTAGGTATAAGAGATTCAAAGGTGTGACCTAGGCTTAAGATGACCTCGGCTAAACACACACTAAACAAGGAACAAAGCATGCAACAACACTTAGATAAAACAAAACAGGATTTCATGAATGCAACTTAACAAGACAAAATCATATAAATGCATGTGAGCATGACCAAGGCAAGGTGAGGGTTGTTACAATTTCATGATCTTCAAATCGTTGCACCAACTTCGTTTCTATTAAAAAAAAAAGGCTAAACAACATGGGATGATGTAGCTTACTTTTCGTGCTCCTTTCAGATATGATAGCCGTACAGTTCGGACTCCCGTGGTTCTGATTCTAATTTCGTAATTGCAATGTGAAATAGATAAACACAAATGAGTCCAAATCCAACAATTCTTTTGAAAAATCGATTTTGAATCAAAATGTCAAAAATGGACTGCCTTGCTAGATTTACAGAGTCGTCACCTAAATATTTTTGGAAAATTTAGGAAATTTAGGAAACCAAAGACTCTTGCCAAAGGCCACTTATCTGTCATCACCAAAGTGTCTCGGCTCGGGAACTTAGGTACGAGAGGGGAAAGTCATGAATTGAGCACCCCACTTACCCGATCAAAGATCTGCCTCTACTAATCATGATGTGATTCTTATTTACATTATATGCTCTTGTTCCGATTTATTAGGCTAACTTTACTACGTGATGCACACAAGTATAGACTAATTTGCAAAAATTGGAATATCTTGATTTCATGTTTGTGTTGAAAATTGTTTGAATATGTACCACTTGAAAAAAGTGATCTCATATGTACATTCATCAAATTATCCCAATTTTGAGCAATTAGCCTTCATCTATAGGCATTCAAATAGGTATATCACTTAAGCACTTAGTCTCATGGAAAACATGCTCGTCATGGCATCAATCACACATATGTAATAAGCTAAAGCAATAAATGCTCACCTAGCACTCCAGGGCAAGCCAAAAGAAATAAAATGGTTAGAAACAATGCATGCTCCTAATCAATGCAACTTGACTAATGCAACACATGCAATATGCAATTTAAATAGACTCAGCTACTAACATGACATGTGAATTGATTTGATAGTATGCGGTTTAAGCATGTTTCAAAGAAGTAATAAATAACAATGTGAGTTGGAATGATGCACTGAGCCTAATGCATGGAAGATAAATGAATGCTTTATACATGGAAAAATGCTAAACAAAACATGATGTGCTACACCATCCATCATAAACGGGAAAATAAAAAGGGAGAAAGACGTGGGGTTGGAAGACATACACAATATTATATATTTCACCCTCGCACAAGAGGGTCTGAATAAATGAATTAGCTAGCTAGCTAATTAATTATTACAACACCAAATTTAACTAACTATTCTAGCTAATTAAATAGTTACAACACAAGATTAATTAATTAATCTAATTAATTACAACACCAAGTTAATTAGCTATGCTAACTAATTAATTACAATATGAAAAATAATTAAATATTATATGTTCACAAGTTAATAGGCCCCGAGAAATGAGGGAAAGGCTTATGCATGCATATGATTTGCTTCCCTGAAAATGCCTCTGTTTTGCTACCAAAAGGGTTATGTTTTGAGGTCAGAAAATGGCACTATTTTCACCTTAGCCTCTACTCTGCTCTGTGAGGAAAATGGCACTGCCTAGCTAAAAAAGATAG